GGGTGTGCGATTATATATCGTCTGCGATGATATCGTAATTGTTGTTTTAACGATGTGCGATTTGACATTATCAAGTATTTTGCAAAAACCATTCAAAACATCCCTACAGAGCGCACGCATACATTACGTGAAGTCTAGACTAGTGCGTGTGCGCATTTAGTGTGTTTTCTTTCACTGCATGATTCAGTCTATTAAAATGCATTTAGAATGATCACAAATTCAAGACATGATGGCAGAAAATGTATATATTTATGCCACTTCATATAGTTATTAAATTTCACACGAAGAGTGCCGTTTTTCTCCAAAAATTACCATGATTACAAATGTGACATTGATTTCAATAAACAATAAGTTAATTAAGAGACTTTAGTTTTAGACACCATATTGCTTGTTTTTGCTCTATTTCGCCAACAAAAATCATCCCGAATACAGCCACAGCGCTGTTTTCTGTCTCTGAGCAACATGACGGTGTTTCGTTCTTGAATTAATTAACCGTTTAAATGATTCAGTTCAATCGCAATGACTCGCTTATTAACAGTGATTTGCTGCCACCTGCTGATATAGGCTATAATTTTCTTAAATAGAAAATCCATCTTGATTTAAGATTTTTTTTTAAAGATATTTGTACTTGAAATAAGAAAATAAGAAATACTTCGTGAGAAAAGCATTTTTGCAGCGTGCATGAATGAATTAAGTATTTTAAAAAGAGGGCGGTGACGGAAAGAAACTCTGGGTTTACCGAAGAAAACCTGCTCCTGACCAGGTTAGGTTCACAGAGTAATTTACCATGGTAACTGACTCTGAGTACAAGTTACCTCTCTTTCAGCAGAAACGGGCGTGACTTACCCTGCTTTCTTGGGCTTCACATACCTCCCATTCTGAAACGGGAAAACCCAGAGTTTCTCTCATTTCAGGGTTAACATACTCAGAGTTTTCTCTTAACCGCCTTTCTGAAACGGGCCCCTGTTGTCTCTTTCAATAAAAAAAATAAAAAATCCCCTAAAAAGTTGCCATAACAATGCAGTCTCGACTCTTTGGCCTAGTTCCTCAGCCTGTTTTTGTACTCCATCCCTATCTTAGTATCTTTATTTCTCTTCGCACCATATTGGCAGAGGTATGTTTTGATGCATGGTGTTTGCACAACGAGAATGTGTGTGTTTCCAGACTCGTGTGTCAAGCAGCCCTGGTGCAGCGAACTTCACAATACGGGCATGTTAATCCTCTTTAAAGCTTTGAAAACCTCACTGTCACACAGACAATTGTCCAGTAGTGCATTCCTCCGCCTTTGCTAAAAAAATAAAAATGTAGTTTAAATAAAACAACAAGTAGGCCATTCCTAAGCACACTAGAAAGGTAAATAGCATCAGTTTGAGATATAATTCAGCTGGACAGACAGTTGCCCAAACCAGAGGTTTAATTTCAGCCCCTATATGTGCAGTAGACGGGGTCTGGCTCCTATACAGGCCTGATGGCGACTGATAGTCACGGGTTCTAATCCCACTGCCTCCCTTCCAGGTCTCCTGTAAGAAACTAGAGGGGCATTTAGTGACTGTCCCCTTTGTAAGGGGTTCATATGGGGGCTCGACTCTTAATTAGGAAGGTAGGGCAGTGAAGAATCTCCGCTTGACAGATTAACATGCACAATTTAACCACTAACCTTCCGAAATGAGCTTCCCCAAAATACCTGTGGGTCCAGTTTCAGTGCGAGGGCAGAGGTGACCAGAGATGACACTGAGCAGAAGGGTCTTCATTAACCGGGCGGCTTCATATCTAAAATCAGCAATATCAGTCGCCACTCAAAGGAGAAAAATGGCTCTGTTTGTGGCTATGTAGTTATTTTGGTTTAATTGACTTAATTTTGTTTAATTTTAATTGGTGTCATTTTTGCTTCCCTTTTAAATGGGTAAATAATTAATATGGCTAGTTATGAAACGTTTCTTCTCAGTGTCAAGCATCATAAGCATTTCTAAGAAGAGTTGAAACTGACTTCCATGTCTTACAGGTTCAAAACCACATCAATGTGTCAAGTTTTTAGTGTTTTCTTTTATGAAGACATAAACAGATTTAGCTTTTTGCGACAGTTTGAAAGGGATTTGTTGCTCACGTCTAATCGTCTAATTTCCGTCTGGCCGTTTTTCTCCAAAAATTACCATGATTACAAATGTGACATTGATTTCAATAAACAATAAGTTAATTAAGAGACTTTAGTTTTAGACACCATATTGCTTGTTTTTGCTCTATTTCGCCAACAAAAATCATCCCGAATACAGCCACAGCGCTGTTTTCTGTCTCTGAGCAACATGACGGTGTTTCGTTCTTGAATTAATTAACCGTTTAAATGATTCAGTTCAATCGCAATGACTCGCTTATTAACAGTGATTTGCTGCCACCTGCTGATATAGGCTATAATTTTCTTAAATAGAAAATCCATCTTGATTTAAGATTTTTTTTTAAAGATATTTGTACTTGAAATAAGAAAATAAGAAATACTTCGTGAGAAAAGCATTTTTGCAGCGTGCATGAATGAATTAAGTATTTTAAAAAGAGGGCGGTGACGGAAAGAAACTCTGGGTTTACCGAAGAAAACCTGCTCCTGACCAGGTTAGGTTCACAGAGTAATTTACCATGGTAACTGACTCTGAGTACAAGTTACCTCTCTTTCAGAAACGGGCTTGACTTACCCTGCTTTCTTGGGTTTGACATACCTCCCATTCTGAAACGGGAAAACCCAGAGTTTCTCTCATTTCAGGGTTAACATACTCAGAGTTTTCTCTTAACCGCCTTTCTGAAACGGGCCCCTGTTGTCTCTTTCAATAAAAAAAATAAAAAATCCCCTAAAAAGTTGCCATAACAATGCAGTCTCGACTCTTTGGCCTAGTTCCTCAGCCTGTTTTTGTACTCCATCCCTATCTTAGTATCTTTATTTCTCTTCGCACCATATTGGCAGAGGTATGTTTTGATGCATGGTGTTTGCACAACGAGAATGTGTGTGTTTCCAGACTCGTGTGTCAAGCAGCCCTGGTGCAGCGAACTTCACAATACGGGCATGTTAATCCTCTTTAAAGCTTTGAAAACCTCACTGTCACACAGACAATTGTCCAGTAGTGCATTCCTCCGCCTTTGCTAAAAAAATCATGAATGAATTAAGTATTTTAAAAAGAGGGCGGTGACGGAAAGAAACTCTGGGTTTACCGAAGAAAACCTGCTCCTGACCAGGTTAGGTTCACAGAGTAATTTACCATGGTAACTGACTCTGAGTACAAGTTACCTCTCTTTCAGAAACGGGCTTGACTTACCCTGCTTTCTTGGGTTTGACATACCTCCCATTCTGAAACGGGAAAACCCAGAGTTTCTCTCATTTCAGGGTTAACATACTCCGAGTTTTCTCTTAACCGCCTTTCTGAAACGGGCCCCTGTTGTCTCTTTCAATAAAAAAAAAAAAATCCCCTAAAAAGTTGCCATAACAATGCAGTCTCGACTCTTTGGCCTAGTTCCTCAGCCTGTTTTTGTACTCCATCCCTATCTTAGTATCTTTATTTCTCTTCGCACCATATTGGCAGAGGTATGTTTTGATGCATGGTGTTTGCACAACGAGAATGTGTGTGTTTCCAGACTCGTGTGTCAAGCAGCCCTGGTGCAGCGAACTTCACAATACGGGCATGTTAATCCTCTTTAAAGCTTTGAAAACCTCACTGTCACACAGACAATTGTCCAGTAGTGCATTCCTCCGCCTTTGCTAAAAAAATAAAAATGTAGTTTAAATAAAACAACAAGTAGGCCATTCCTAAGCACACTAGAAAGGTAAATAGCATCAGTTTGAGATATAATTCAGCTGGACAGACAGTTGCCCAAACCAGAGGTTTAATTTCAGCCCCTATATGTGCAGTAGACGGGGTCTGGCTCCTATACAGGCCTGATGGCGACTGATAGTCACGGGTTCTAATCCCACTGCCTCCCTTCCAGGTCTCCTGTAAGAAACTAGAGGGGCATTTAGTGACTGTCCCCTTTGTAAGGGGTTCATATGGGGGCTCGACTCTTAATTAGGAAGGTAGGGCAGTGAAGAATCTCCGCTTGACAGATTAACATGCACAATTTAACCACTAACCTTCCGAAATGAGCTTCCCCAAAATACCTGTGGGTCCAGTTTCAGTGCGAGTAAAAAACAAATACAGAAAATTCCTTCATATTAATACAATACATTGCACCCTACTTTTACGGGGGTTTTTTTATTTACAGTGTAAGAAATCGGTTTTATTTTTCCCCAAATTTTTTCCCTATTAATGTTTCTGGATTAACACAGTGGTTTTCTGTGTTAATGGTTAAATTACATTTGAATAATCAAAAAAGCATTTCTAATTAATTGAAATGCAATGTGTCAAAAAAGAAAGACATTTTTTTTGTATTTCAAATTCTGTGTTTTCGGTTTTAATTTTTCTGGATTTATAATTCATAATCAAAACATATGAAGACTTCAGATGCTGAAACCTATAAGTCCATTTGAGATTTTTCTGAGAATTTGTTTAGGTTTAGTAATTTCACTTGAAAATGTTATTAGTCAGTTGTTGAATGCCTTTTTTTCCAAAATGTCCAATGATATTTTCATAGGAGCCCGATTAGAAAAAGCTAATTTGAAAGTAAAATCTCAGACTTTTTGCATCTAAAGTCTTCATATATACACCAGTTCGTGTCACAATTTGATTAAGTGTACAGCCCTGCTTTTGATTTATTCATCCAAAAACTGCCAAGTTCTGTGACATTCCACGTTTTGTTGTAATTTCTGTTTTTATGAGTGGATTCCGCGATTGCGTCTGTGCTTTCTGCATCATGAAAATCATAGGACCCCGTGATCATGCGGGAGAGACCCGAACTGTGACCTCAATCTTAAATCTTGACTGAATCTCAAATCTCTTTTTCCCATTGGTTCTACTGGCTTGGTCTAAAACCTCATCTGGCCAAACTGGTTCAGTTCATTTGTGATACTTATGAACTTATGATAACTATGGTGGGCTTGTGTTTATGTGTCTGTGGCTGTCAGTCAGGGCCGGGACTTGCATGTGTGTGTGTGGGATCTGTCTGAAGACCGCAGAACAGTGACAGACTCTCTCCTAACGGGCAGTGTGGGGTTCTGTCAGTGCTCTCTGCTGGAGACCCGACCCGGAGACGCTCTACTGGCCCATCCCACAGAAAACATGGAGGAGGTGAGTGACTGCTTCATCACACACATCTTGGGACTGTTCATAACAACACTGCAGTTCCCATTCTGAGGATTAAGTTGTTTAAGATGCTGATGTCAGTATTTAGAATTTAAGATGACCAATGAAATGATGCTGTAAATTAACGTGTTTGGTCTTTTGGCTTTTAACCAATCAGAATCATTATTTACCTGTCAATCATTTTGCATGTTCAAGTTTAGATGGTTGTATTTAGAGAGTGGGATTTTGCAAAGGCATTCTATTGTAACTGAAATTGCTTATACTACCATTAGTTTTGTTTTGTAATTAATACTTTTATTCAGAAAGAAATGTTTCTTGAGCATCAAATCTGCATATTAGAATGATTTCTGAAGGATCATTTGACACTGAAGACTGGAGTAATAGCAACAGAAAATTTTGCTTTACAATCACAGGAATAAATTACATTTTAAAATGTAATAAACTATAAAACAATTATTATAAATTGTAATAATATTTCATAGTATTACTGTTTTTACTGTATTTTTTATATATTTATGCAAATAAATGCAGCCTTGGTGATGAGAGACTTCTTTGAAAAACAGAAAAAAAATCTAATAAATTAGTGTATGTTTAAGGTAATTAACCAAGCAGTCTCCTGAATTTCCAAAAATAGCTAAGTATTCACAGATTAATCGGCATTGCAAGTATATCGATCCAGCACTAGTTGGAATCAGTTTGTATCAGCCATGTTGATTTGAGTAGCGGTCATTTTAGGTGAGATTCATTGAGACTGTACTGTATGTGTGATTTTGTGTGGTCGAGCAGGCAACAGAGAGCAGAGAGTGTGAGTTCTGCTCTGTCCTGGCTTTTATTGCATCCAGATTCATGTTTCACCATTCAATCTGCCAGTTCTTCACTTGAAAGAGCCTGAGCTGTCACTCGATCTACATTTACCATGCTTCAGCTACCCGCAGCCCTGCAGCCAGACCAAACACAGAGCTTCAATGTTGCTGTTATCCTCATCCTTTTTCCTACAACACTCCACATGCATCTCCCTTCCTCTTCATTTCATCACTCCATGCGTCCTGCCACTGTTATTGACGCAAAACTGGACTTGATCACTTCTGTTATAATCAAAGCTGACGTGATTGGAAGTGCAACCCTTTTTTCCCCCATCTGAGAAATATGAATAGTTGATATATTTGAAATATATCAAATATATATATATTTTTTAATTATATTTTATTATTTTAAGACCATGTAATCAATAAATTGAGAGAGAGAGAGGGAATTTTTAAATTCTTAAATAAAATCATAAAATAGAAAATTATTTATATATATATATATATACATACATACATACATACACATAGAGAGAGAGTTTAAAATTTATAGTAAATAAAACAAATTATATAAAACCATAAAATAAATGATAAATTGAATATAAATGAATTTAGATATATTTAACATTTTAACACTAATATACATCTGCGCGTTCTACTCATTTTTTTATGCTTGTAGCTATAAAAAAGCAGCTTTCATCCCCACAGGTTAATATATATTAAATATAATTATTTATGAACTTTTTTACATGTATTTATTACAATTCATAATTAAAAAAATTTAATAAAATCACGAATACAAATATATTTTTTTATTTTAAAATTAGAATTATAATTTTTTTTTTAATGTATTAACTACATATTTGCCATATAAGTGAAAAAGGGGTATAGAAGCATTTGTCACTTAGTATTCAATATAGTGTGCACTACCTAGTGTACTCATTTCCCCATAGTGTTCAAGCATATGGAAAAGTTAGGTCTTGCTTTTACAGCACTCTTACAGCTCCCTCCCACCTTGTACTTAGTAATGAAAGCCTTGTCAAAAGGCCATCAAGGTAATAACCGTCACAAGATAACTGCAGGCAAACTGCACCACTATACGTCAAATAACAGTGCTGCAAGGCATGCTGGGAGTCCGGAACTCAAACATTGACCTCATCTATGTCTTCCTGTGTTCTTGGAGGCTTTTATGTTTAGCATTCCAGTGAGGCTGACAGTGCAGGGCTTTAATTAATAGACTCGCTGTTATTTATTGACTGTTTAACTCGCGTCAAGTTTTCTCTCTCTCTCTAACCTGGGGGGATGAGAGCTGCCCTTCTCTGCTGTTTATAGTTACAGTGGTAAACACGTGTAGAACGCGCAGATGTGTCTTAGTGTTAAAATATGAAATGGTCTGAAGTCAGAGATGTTAAATTGAACTTAATTAGGAGGATGCTTAATCATGGCTGCCTATGCAATCAAGCCAGACATATTGGCCTCAACCAGTTCCTCAGGAGTTATTATAGTGATCTTGTATGCATGTTATTTACAGTGTCCCAAAAAGTATTTGGACACTTATTAAAAACAAAAAATCACTGTATTAGATAAAATATAACACCAAGTTGAAGTTATTTAAAAAAAAAACACTTTGAGCAAAAGATTCTACAAAACAAATGTTCAAAATTGAGAAACATTCTGGTTAATGTGATTAATTGCATGTGTGGTTAGTCCTGTATGAATTTGAGGAGAACTTGACTTCATGCATCCACTAAAAATCACCTTGAGACCAATTATACATCATCGTTGGTTTACAAATGTCTCTGGTTTAGATTTTTTTTTTTGTCTAATGTAGTGGCTTAAAGTGTCCAGATACTTTTGGCGCTGTTGTAGTTGCCAGGGAAATCTGCATGCATGTTCACAAGTGGTCACACTATTTTTAATGTTGTTAGGCCTTATTATTATTAATGGTCATGGCCCTTCTGTGTTGGAAGCTGTTGTGTTTTTTTTTTAATCATTTGCCTCTTTTTGGAGTCAGACGAGTCAAGACTTGATGAGGCAGAGTGCATGAAAATGGGAAGCTGCTGGAAATCAGCCCAATGTTGGCTGCACTCTCTTACCACCTGTGAACATGCATCATGGCAAACTATCAGGACAGTTGACTAATGCACATCTGTGCAGAGCTTTTGTGCATTTTGTAAAGTCTGTGAATATAGATTATTTGGAGGATATCACTCATTTTAGCGTTGATGTGAGGATACCATCTGCTAAAGATTGAAGAGAAGTAATAACCGACTATGAATCATTGACAAAGTGCCTGTATCATCTAGGCGTGCGTTCAACTTGCAGTACTTCGGCATTAATAGTAGTGACTCCTAATGACTCCCTTAATGATTTTCTCTGAAACTGTTCTTAAGAAAAATTTAGCAGTGAAAACAAATCCAAGTTTTTAATGTGTATGATGTTTTTTCAGGTGAGTGTGGTGGAGGTGAAGAGCTGGACTCCAGTTTGCACTCTGAAACCAGATTCAAAGCTGGGGATGCTCATGTGTATGAAGATGTGGCAGGTAAGAGTCACAGCAGTTTGCTACATTTGTGTGGATGTATGCTTAATAAAATAAACTCTTCATCATATATTCTGGAGTATGGAAGTGGTTGTTTTATGTAATGCTGGATTTTATTTTTTTTCACTTTATATTACAAATAATTTATGTTGAAAGTAAATTAGGATGTTTTTTTAGTTGGGAATATAGAGTATTTATTTACGTATGCATGTATTTAATTTTATTTTGCTTTGCCGAGTTTTGCTTGATTTTTTTTTCACACCGTTCTATTGTTAAACGTAGTTAGGATGGTTAGTAAAGACCCTAAATTGACATTTACAGAAAAAAGTTTAGACTACTTCACACATGTGAACCTGCTCATGCTCCCACTTTATTGTTTCCAATTGTATATCACGTTTCTCATGCATGCGTGGAAATGTTCCTGTTTGCACTGGAAAGTCTCAGAGTTTTTTTCTTTTCTTTTCATGCAACTTAGTTTTATTAACACACACTTTCTGAGCCCTGTCTGATTTTCCAAGGTGTTGTTGTGCTAAATTTTGACATTGTCAAGCATTGCCTTTTGAAGTACTGACAAGCAAACCTAGAGCTGACAGAGTAACCGAGCAGTTGGCAAGTGTGTAAAGCGACAGAACTAATCTGATTTAT